AACACCCTGTGTGTCACGCTCTAATTTGTACCGTTCCACCTTGATCGCTCGTTCCAAGACATCCTTGTATGTGGTCAGTTCAAGAGGTGCGAGCTTAGAACGTATATTAAGCCGAAGGCCTCTTTGGAAATGTTCAGCTTTAAGTTCTTCATCATCCACATAATGTTTCGCCAATCTACTTAACTGGTTGAAGCGGCCTGCATAGTCCATCACCGTAGAGTCACCCTGAGATATGTGTATGAAGTCGTCCCTCATCTTCGCTTGGAATGATCTTGGGAAGAATTGAGTGTTGAAGGCCTTTGTAAAATCTTCCCAAGAAATTGTCGCATCTCCGCCTCCCAGGGTAAGTCTAGTCCCTTCCCACCAATACTCTGCTTCGCCCTCCAAACATTGGGTGGCAAAGTCAACCTTCCGATCATTGGGAACTCTATCGGTTCTAAAGATCCCCTTCATTCTTCTAATCCAACGTTCGGCCAATAGAGGATCCGATTTCCCATCGTAAGCAGGTGGTTTGGCCTTTCTGAACTAGGCAACTGTATATTCTCTCTCACCTTCAGTCATAGCGGTTCCACTCCCACCTAGATCTTTCAGTTGACGATGAAAGTTAAGCACTACTTGACAAGCCTAAGATAAATTGCCTTGGATGGTAGGCTCAGGAAGTTCATCACTTACATATTGTGAGTCAGGGCTTCTTTCAAATCGATCCTCTAATCTCCTTTTTGAAGCCGGGCCTTGAGAACCTTGAGGCATATCTCTGGTATCGGGGGTAGCGACTTGCTTGCCTTTACTGTTCTTACGAAGCGAGGCAAGTGTCTCTGAGTCGGAACGCATGATAACCTGAATCCAAAGCATAACAAAACCTTAGCACCTAGAAGATAACATGCTAAAACTATCACACAATCTCACAACGTCCCATAAAAATCTACACCCAAACAGATCACAACTTAAGCTCTGATACCAAAAGATGTCACACCTAAAAAACAACTAGAAAAGGGGGATGACACGGCCCTCCTTCCACACGAAGGACGCAACCTCAACAATAACCAACAACTTGTTATCAACATATATATCTCAAACCACATATATATCAGATAAACCAACGAGTTGGTTACAACATCAGAGTTTCTATAATCCACCAAAAGAACATGTACATCAAGAACTCAGCCAACCCGACGAACTATTAGCAACCTTACAAACAACTCCAAAAATCATACCAAAAAATTTAACTCCCAAACGTCCCCGCGATAGCGCTCTCGTACTAACGGCCGCTAGCCGAGGAACTTGAAAAGATTAGGAAAGAGAGGGATGAGCAACCACAGCTCAGTGAATAGTACATCTCTTCTAAATAGATCGAGTAATCACTATGCATGTGTACAAAGCAATACCAAAACTTCAGGAGCCAAACTTAAGGTTTAAAATACATATAGAATCACATAAAAGTTGTTTCGTTTCATCAAAGCTTTGTACAAGCCACAAATACACATTTAAATCCATCATCACAATTCAAACTATCAATGGTCAAGTCCATTGATCAATCTCTATAAAAATCACGTCAATGGTCTATTCCATTGACTAATATCAATCACACATCAATGGTCTATTCCATTGATGAATCTCATATCACAGCACATGTCGATGGTCCATTCCATCGACCAATCTATTACTCAATATCTAATCATGGTCACGACACAAAGCCTTGTGACAAGGCTACCAAGATTCCCCCATTGGCAAGGTCTCCATCTACAAAGCCGGTGGCTCGGCCCAGAAGGATATCCTAAACCCGGTATGCATACCCCCAAACCCCTCAATGGGTTCACAGTCATATTGTGCATCAAATAACCATCATCAAATATCAGAAATCAAATCCACGATACATTTCACAAACCAAACAAGTAACTTTCTTGCAACACGGCTCAACCTCCAGAAATACATTTCAGCATTTCTTTAATCATTTCCGAAGTCATTTCATAAATTAGTTCGTAACGCAATATACAAATGTATCCTTTCACAATACATTTCCAAAAACGATTCTCAAATCATTCTCAAATACTAAAAAGTAGTAAATACTCGATCCCGATTTGTGCAACAAAATGCTCTTTTAAATTTAACATATATATTTATATCGAATCATAATTTCTTCGAGATATGGTTTTTATAAAACCAAAGAATAGATAGTACCACTCACTTGGAATCCTCAAAAATCAAACAACCACGCTCACTCGAACCGACGATCTCGTAATCCTAACAATTAAACGAGAATCGACATCAAAACCAAGTAAAAAACTACGAAACGGCTAAACGATGCTTAAACGCTAACAAGACAACTCAAAGGTGCCCACAAATTGCTCATCTAAAGCGATTATCCAAACCGTCCGCAACGCGAAGCTTGAATGCGAAACATGATCGCACCATAAATTCCTCCACCGAACCCCGTTTCAAACGAGCTTATAATCAATAGAAAGCCCATTCATAGCACTACAAGAACCCCAACTTGGCCGTCCCAAAATCGAGCCCAAAACCGACGAAAATCGGCCTAAAGTCCACTGGTCGCGCACTGTTCACCTTGTGCGGTCAACTTCAAAATTTCATATTGGGCAAACCATAGGTCCAAATCGAGATCCGTAAAATCTCACGGCTCTACGACACCCTAAACTACCAATTATATATATATATATATACACACACGTAGCCTAACGACCCAAAAATCGGACTTCACGGCTTGAATTTCCCAAAATTCCGAATTTAAACCCTAAATGTGAAAACTTTTTCGATCGGATGGACGAGGGGCATGAATGCTTACCGGACGTTGCAATACGAAGTTGATCCGAGCTGGCGAGGCTCTGTTGACGTGAGCCTTTCCTCTTTCTTCTTCTTCCTTTTCTTTCCCTTTCTCTCTTTTTCTTTCTTCTCTTCTCTTCTCTTCCCTTCTATGCGCAAGCTCTCGGTTAAAAAGAAGAGCCGAGCATCCACTGTAGATACTTTTTGACTTTTTGACTTTTTTTTTAAACCTGAATATTACATAAGATGTCTCTCAATCATTTTTTTTTTCTGAAATGTCCTCAATCACTTTCTCTGTATTGTGTATTTTATCAACTATTTCTTTCAAAGATTTAACGATTCAAACATAATAAGGTGTTTTTTTTTGCATATTATCCGAAAGCATATAAAAATATTTCAAATCATTTTTTATTACAAGAACATCGATATATGTTTATAAAAATTTGTAGTATTTAATATTAAATACTAAAATAAAATTAAAATCAAAAGCTAAAGTACGATGAAACATGGCAAGAAGCGTAGCGAGATGGTCGTGTCATGTATACTTCATGCAACTGATATCTTTACTCTCTTGAATTTTCAAATGCCAATGCTGGCATATATGCGATGCTGGATATATTTGATAGAATGTAAAGATTTTAATCCTTTTTAATATTATTTAAATTGTTGATAAGAAGAGGTGGGCAATGTATCGAATGCCGAATGATTATTTTGAATTGACATCAAAGATCACCCGCCAATCATTCTTATTTTCGTAAATTGTGATTTTTCCCCATATATAGATATTATGGTCATAAGGCATTCTAAATATATGCACGTGGTGTTTATCAAAAAATAAAATATTGCAAAAGCTTGAGATTGAAATGATAATTGAATTATCTTAATTAATCTTGAACATAAAAATTTTTTTAGAATGGATTTTTTAATTAAATGATTTGAGAAAATGAATCTTAAGCCGATGAAATAGGCGCAAAAGTATGGGGCCAAAAAAGATCTCGATCATGCGGCCATGCCCATCGTGTCCGTCATTGTCCTTGCAACGGTCGTGCCGCCTGTAATTATGTCGCCACACATCGAGAGGACTTTTGCTGGATTTAAATACTTGCAATATTTGGTTTTTTTTAATCTTGTCATTATGTTGTTGATTAATTATTTATATTTGAAGTAATGAAATCGTCTGTATTTGATGTAATGGAATGAACTTTTGAATTATATAATCTAGCCATCTCTTATCAATATAAACAAGACACAAAGTGCAATTAAATTCCTATTGAAAACAAAAGTACCAAGTCCAAGGCGACGGGAAAAAAGAGAGAAAAATCATCTTCTTGTGAAGCTCGAAATTTAAACCTAACACGACGAAAGAATTGCCGTTGCCTTTGGTGCAAGTTTTCACCCGAGTCAATGAATTTGTATCGCCATAAGAGTCGACAAAGTGACGAATATGGCCAATCTAAGGCAATAAAAATGAGCTCGGGAAAACACTACAAGAAAAACGGGGTTAAGGCGACAAATTTTTCGTTGCGAAGCGTTGGTTGCATCACTTCATCACCTTCGCCTAAAGCGACAAATTTTTTTTTTTAAATCTAATGTTCGCAAACCTGGAGACGGTTCTGAAATGTAAGATAATACATTCGACGAATTGATAATGGTGAGTTCCAGTCGAAACCATGGCACAAATACCATTACACATTTATCTAATGACGTTCGACTTGATTTTTTTTTAAAAAAAGAAGAAATTATGGATCACACAATAAGTTCGCAATAAACAGGACACATGATCAAACATGAAAAATGCTAGTCGTACTTGGCATCCAACCAGCATGCTGCGCCACAGCCCTCGTATTAAGATGAAAACGAGCAAAACACCAATGGTCGTTCAGCCAGAAAGCGAGAGTGTTTCTAGGTTCGCGAGCACAATGAATAGTATGTAAGGAAAAATTCCACCGGACATTTTTGAATGAAGTCTTCAGGCAATTAGCGGATCATCCCAAATTGATGACAGAAGTGCCTACAAAAATGGATGAGTTCCAGAATTAGATATTGACAAAACAACGATGCACCAATTTGACGTGGGGAGAGCGACTAAGCGCGCGCGAGAGAGAGAGAGAGAGAGAGAGAGAGAGAGAAATTGCAGACAGACCAACATCTTGGATGTGTTAGCCGGTCAGTCTTTGCATCGATTTCTGTGTTTTTGTGGACTTACTTTTTGCTCGACTGGATCAGCCTATAGGCAGTTTTTGGCAGTTAACGACGTGAGATTGCCGCGGCACTTTGAACCCGGTGCTTTTTAGCTCAGGTAAGTCGCACAGTTGCACTTGGAGTCTTGGCAATGAAGTACCTGCTGCAGATCTGCCTCCGAAAATAGTTTCCAAGCTGTAGCATGATTTTACCTTGACAATCTCCAGGTTTGGCGGCGAATGAGATGACGAAGAAACTTCTTTGAGCTTGGGACAGGATTCGATTTTAAGCTGTTTCAGATTCTTGAAGCTGTCAGGCTTCATTTTCTGACTGCATAGAGTCTCCAGCTTAGCAGCACCGGAAATATAGAGAACCTCTAGAATTTTGGCTTCTCCAAGAGTTTCTTCTAAACTATTGAGATTTGGACACCATCTCACTTTCAATTCTTGCAAGGAGGCCATTGTCACGCCAATTCTCTCCAGCTTTGGTAACTCCATAAGATCCAAGGTCCGCAATTTGCACTCTGCAGGCGCATGAGGTTTAAATAGCTCTTTGAGCTTGGGGCATGATTCGAGTTTAAGCTGTTTCAAATTCTTGAAGCTCTCAGGCTTCAATTTCTGTTGGCATATAGCCTTCAGCTTAGCAGCACCGGAAATATAGAGATCCTCTAGATTTTCAGCTTCTCCAAGAGTTTCTTCTAGACTCTCAAGATTTGGACACCGTCTCACTTTCAGTACTTGCAACGAGGCCAGTGTCATGCCAATTCGCTCCAGCTTTGGTAGCTCCATAAGATCCAAGGTCTGCAATTTACACTCTGCAGGCGCATGAGGTTTAGAAAGCTCTTTGAGCTTGGGACAGGATTCGAGTTTAAGCCGTTTCAGATTCTTGAAGCTCTCAGGCTTCTGACTGCATATAGCCTCCAGCTTAGCAGCACCGGAAATATAGAGATCCTGTATATTTTCAGCTTCTCCAAGAGTTTTTTCTAGACTCTCAAGATTTGGACACCGTCTCACTTTCAGTACTTGCAACGAGGCCACTGTCATGCCAATTCTCTCCAGCTTTGGTAACTCCATAAGATCCAAGGTCAGCAATTTACACTCTGCAGGCGCATGAAGTTTAGAAGAAAGCTCTTTGAGCTTGGGACAGGATTCGAGTTTAAGCAATTTCAGATTCTTGAAGCTCTCAGGCTTCCGACTGCATATAGTCTCCAGCTTAGCAGCACCGGAAATATAGAGATCCTCTAAATTTTCAGCTTCTCCAAGAGTTTCTTCTAAACTCTCAAGATTTGGACACCGTCTCACTTTCAATACTTGCAACGAGGCCACTATCATGCCAATTCTCTCCAGCTTTGGTAACTCCATAAGATCCAAGGTCAGCAATTTACACTCTGCAGGCGCATGAGTATATAGCACTTTGACTTCATCACAAAATTTGACCTGGAGGGTCTTGAGGTTCTTTGGCGGCTTTGACAGTTGGAAAATGTTGGTGAGCATTGGGCAATACTCTATGTACAAGCTCTCAAGTTGTAAGAAGACGTCAGACTCAGACTGAAAGTTATCACTGCATACAGATCGCAAGGAAATGAGATTACATAGATAAAGAGAGTTGAGATTTCCCAAAACTCTGGCATTGTCTTCTACATCTACAATACTGCAGATCTCCGTGCACCTCTCAAGCCAAAAGCTCTTTATTGATTCCAAAAACTCTTCACCAAGCTCAGATAAGTGACTGATGCTTGTGTCAATCAGCGATATGTGATCAGCATGCTTGAGAACAACTTTAGGTAGACTTGAAGAGCCAAAGGGTCCATGAATCTCTAAAAAACCCTGTGGCTCTTTATGACGAGGTATTCTTCCCTGGGAGTTCATATCCCTCAATATGCCAATGTCTCCAAGGCGGTGGAACATCCTTTTGTCTCTCTCTTGTGGAAGCTCTTTTGAAAGCCAAACACAGATATGGAACTTTTGGAATATATTCCACAGATTTGATCCCTCCAAGAACTGGAGAAATTGGGTACCACATGTTGATATGGAAGGCCAGCCAGTACTATCAGAATCAGATTTCTCAGGACTTCCAGATCCGCAACATTTCAAGTTGAACTTGTCCGGTACATACTTTATCTTCTTCCAATCAATCTCTTCAGCATGCTTCATAACCTGTAGATCAAGCTTACAAAGACCACTCAGATCCGAGATCTCATAGGGATAGTCTTCTATATTTGTTCCAGAAAGATCCAGAACCTCCAATTCCCTAAGTGATTTAAAAAATTTCAAGTCCTTCAAACCAGCACATTTCCTTAGCAACAATCGTCGGAGGTTGCTAAAAGTCTCAAGGAATTGCAAAGACTCAACTTCCGTCTCTGATAGATCCAGCTGCTCAAGTTCTTTGAGTGCCTCCAGATCTGACACTTTACAAAAACCACCTCTCAGTGAGAGTTCCCTTAGATTCGTGAGGTGGGACACGGATGGCAATTTTTTAAATTTTATTTTGGAGAGGTTCAGAATCCTGAGTTTACTCGAATGTTGAAGGAATTCAACTTTTATATTGCTCAAAGATTCTGCACCACAGAGGTCGAGTTCCTCTAGGTTTGATAGAGCTTCAAGGGAAGGAAGGTCTTTCAAACGGGTGCAATTTCTCATGATTAGGCGGCGAAGGCTGCTAGGGAAGCAATCCGAGCGAAGGCTTTCAACTTTAGTCTCTGAGAGATTTAGCATCATGAGGTGAGACATGTGCTTAAAGGATTCATTCTGTCCCAGCACCAACTCACTGCATCCTGAAAGATCAAGAGCTTCCAGCTTCTTAAGTACACTCAAGTTCTGCACCTCAGTAAGGGATTTACATTTTATTAGCAGGAGAAAACGAAGTTCAGAATGGTCGGGAAATGATGGCAGAGATTTTATTTTAGACTCCGAGAGGATGAAACGGCGAAGGGATTTAAGATGTTTAAATGAGTCATCGTTGAAGTTCACAAATTTGATGGCATTAGAAAGGTCCAGTTCCTCAAGGTGATTGAGGTTCTGTGTGGATGGTAAACATTCAAGAGAATGACAACGGCTTAAAAGAAGATGTGATAGGTTGCTGATTTTCTCAGGTAGCTTATTTACAGCACTACCAGACAGATTGAGAATTCTAAGGGGTCCATCCAGAGAATCATCTTGTATTTCTTCCAAGGATGTAGCCCCCGAAAGATCGAGAATCTCAAGTCTAGTTAATGGTTGAAGGGATGGCAGCCTTGCCAAGGAGGGACAGTCACTTACTAGGAGTCGGGTTAGACCTCCCAACTTATGAAAAATAGGCAAGCGGTCAATCTTTGTTTGAGAAAGGTTGAGAGTTTGAATCTTTTCAAGAGGAGCAAGGGTCTTGTCCCTGATTCTTTTAAAAGAGAATGAACCAGAGAGATCGAGCACTTCCAGATTTTCCAAAGATTTCAGACCATAAAATTCTTTCAAATTTGGACACTTTCTTAGGATGAGCCAACGGAGCTTACTCCGATTAAGGACAGAAGAAGGAAGTGACTCAATGCCAACTTCAGATAGGTTAAGAGATGTAAGTTCTTCCATCTGCTTGAAAAGATCTTCTTGGATATTTGTTATCAAACAAGCCCCAGAAATCTCAAGAACTAGTAACTTTGTAAGTTCATGGATCTCATCTACTTTCTCCAGTAGATTACATCCCCGCAGAACAAGCACTTGAAGCTCCTTCAACATAGACAGTGGTGAGGGAATATGTTTGAACTTAGGATTTAAGATGACCAGAATTTTGAGTTGTTCCATGGGTCTGAAGAATCTTTCGGGGACTTCCCTGAAAAGACGAGCACCTTCAATAAGGAGCGTTGATATCATACCTCCTCCACGATTTGTCTTGATCATCCCATCTGTCTGTGCAACCCTCCCAAGACCAGCCCACTTTTTGTCCTTCAACACAGTAGCCATACCAAGACGAGAAGACCCATCAAATCCATGACACTGGAGATCAGGGAATTTCAAAGCATCACTTTCCATATGAACATAATTATTTGCCTTTTCTCTTAGAAACCCACGAACTTTGAGGTCCATCAGAGTACAATGAGCTTCCTCATATGCCTTCTCAATATGGTCGTGGTTGTCAAAGTATCCTTCCAGTAGCCAGTGAGTTATCAGCTCATTGTAGTGGATACCACTACATTCACGAAACAAGTATCTGCAATGCCAGTAGAACTTGCTGAGGGTGCTAGGCAACATATCAAGAACATGCTTCAATAACCTTGTGATATCAGCAGATTCAACAACAGAGGCAGCTTCTTCAACTGCATTGTCTAGTTTCAAGTCCTCAACACGATTCAAGGCTTCTGCAATCATGAGAATTATCCCGGGACGACCTGAGGTACTACCACCAATAGCATCAGACAGTCTTTTGAACCCTGTTGCGCTAGAAACTTCTTCCTTGACCCTATTCTTCAATAAGTTCGATGAGTCAGCATCAGACAGGAATTTGATTTTACATGATATTATCTTTCCATCTTCTGTCGGAATTGTACCCCTGATTCCTTCAGAGCCAGCATCAATGTCACTGCCCCTTCTTGTGATCAAAACCTTAAGAAGGTGATCATGAAGCAGGCTATCTAAAGCAGTCACAATTTTCTCTTGGTCCTCATCAGTAATATCATCCAGAATAACAAGAAGATACGGCTTTTTTTTGGTTTTTTTCTGATCAACCTTCACCGTTGCCTTCTTGTCAGGCTTTCCAGAAGCATTCCATTCTGACTTCGCTTCTTCTGTTTCTCCAGATTCTGCAGGTCTAGTCGCTTCAAGCTTATCCCGGATTTCCTGTTTCAGACTTTCCAATTCCTTTTCTTCCTCCTGCTCCTTCTCAGCATTTTTATCATCTCCCTCCCATTCCTCATTAGAAGGTAATACAGACAGCTGAATGGCAATATCCTCAAGAAAAGCTCTTTCCTCATACTTATTTCTCAGAACCATCCAAAGAGTTTTACAGGATGAAACCTTGAGGATGTATGAATTACTTACCTCTCTTGCCATCCATGTTTTCCCTACTCCCGTTTCTCCGGAAAGGACAACTATTTTCACCTTATCATCCATTAGAAAAGCTAAAATCTCTTGCTTTAGAGCTTCCAAAGAATCTGCTGGCAAAGGTGACTGCATCATAGGACATCAATTAAGGGTGGTTGAAAAATTATGTCCTTCCAAGTAAAATCCTCAAAATATGCTGAGTTCAACTGTTCCATACAGAGTAGAAAAGTGCATTTTCAACCCCCAATTACTACAGACTTCAAAAGAAAAAAAATTAAACTTCCAAAACGGAAATTTCATTACTCCAACCAGGAAGGAAGGAGATAGAACAATGCTTATCATCTCATGAAGGATGGTCAGCATACTTTTAAGTTCTGTGAAAACACAGTATAAGAAGAATAATTCCCTTAATCCATATTACTATCAGTATGTTTGATATGTCCAAGCGGCATGAGATAAATATACCCTATCTAAGTTGTTTTCTGATCAATCAGCCAGAATAAGAGTATAGCACTCCATCGATGTCTTATAAAGGATATGCTATTCTTCATTGACAGCATTGTCGGAATTAGGTGAAGTGTCCCAGCTTTAAGAATAAGTTAGTATAACAAATTAAGAGATTTTCTTAATTTACCCAAACTGTTCAAAATAGGGCTGAAATGAATTATGTGGTGTCGAGGTGTTTTTGTCTTACCATAGTTATTCCCCCAAGCATTATTTATTTATTAATTTATTTTGAGAGGCAAAGTAGATTTTTTCATTCAAAGAGAGGTGTAAATATTCCTGAGTCCTACTTTAAAATATAGTCTTAAGTTTAGTAAAATGAGGATACCATGGCCAACCATAACTGTTCAAGGAATAGCTTACGTTTGTTAATTTAAAATGCTGGTGGTGACAAGAAGAAAAAGTAGACTTTGCTCCTGTCACTTTGCCCTTAAAGTTTATCCTGTCTTGATTTATCCCGTAATTGTGGCTCATGTCGCGGTCCATGATTATTGAGAACTGCTCAGAAGGACATTGTTTTTGTGCAAATCACCGCAATTAAAGAATTAAGCTTGGAAAGTGACAAAGAAATTCTTGGCTGGAAGTCCATCATTCAATGAAAAATTGGACTGGAGCCTAACAATTTATTTGGACAACTGTACCCATTCATTTCGGAAATGATAAGCCATGTGCTAGATGATTGACTCAATCCCAGCGATAAGTTCGTTGGCCAAAGAACCTTGGATAGACTTATGTAAGTGGCAAAGCTCGGGATAAAGCGAGGCCATGCAAGTTTCACGAGGTAGAGCAATCTAGCGTACAGACATCAGTGGCCAAAATTCTCGAAAAGAAGAGAAGGAAACAGAGATTAAGGGCCTGTTTGGCTTGAGAAAAGCTTTTCAATTTTTATTTTTAGCGTTTAGTTTCTGTATTTTTGAGGAAGTAAAAACGACCATTCCTTTTTGGAACATGAAAGACATGTTTGTATTCTCTCAAAATTATAAAAGATAGTTTTCCTTTCGGTATTCGAAGCATCCATGTTTTCTTCTTTGCTTCATGTAGAATGAAAGGAAGGAAAACATAAAAAAGTTTGATAACAATTTTCAAAATATTGCCAAATCAAATTTACCGATCACTGTATATACTAAATGTAAATGACAACATAATTTTAGAATACTCTTGCAAATCAAATGGTTACCAAAGTTGCAAGTAAGAGGTTGTTACTAAAATGGGACTGACTGTTGGTCTGCCAGCAAACAGTATTTGATGAATTAGAGTGTAGATTTTGAGGTTAAATTGAACAGAAATCAACATGATTTAAAGTGCCTGGAAGCCCCACCAAAGGAAAAGGTCTATATTATATTTGTGTTCAGGTTGGGCGTTCATCGAAGCATGATTCTTGACATTATAAACTTTTCTAGAAAACAGTTGTTCATCGATACTCAGGCCATTGTCCAGAAAAGAAACTGCAATGAAAGATCCAAGACAGCTAAGAACGTTTGGATAAGTAAAAATTTAAGAAGATAGGACTGTTGGTATATTATGCTTTTCTTAGAGAACATAAAAAAGTTAGTAGGGTGTTTAGGCATGCTATCCATGAAACCAGCATCCCTTATGCGGCGCATCTTAAGTTTTCTACAAGTTACAAACACAGACTGAGGGGGAGGAACACTGATAGTTTTTTTTTTTGTTGATAAGGTAAGTAGTATATTAACTTTTCAACACGCAATTTACAAGAGGAGTTGCCGAACACAAAAACCTTGTACCTGAGGCAACACGAAAGTGTCACGACGGGTGCAAATGTGTAACGGCTAAACGAAGCAAACAAGCACCAAGTGCACAGCACTAACTATAGCCAAAACAGCGGCCAAAGATTAAACAACAAAAGGACAATAGCACTGAAAGTCACTGAAAGATAGAGGCCGGGATGCCCCACTTGACTTGAAGTCTTCTGTTACGCGGTGTGTCAACAACAGGCTGGAGGGAAACAGCCACATCTCTTACAGTCTTGGCCAGATGGGCACGAAGTGCGGGCAAGTAGGGGATACGATCCCTAAAAAGGATATTATTTCGTTCAGTCCAAATGCAGAGTTTGTGAAGTGGATTCTTAAGTATTTGAAAGGATGGCAGAGTTCGGTCAATATCCAGGGGAAAGACACTAATAGGATTGAGTCCCTGCGCATGTTAATTCGGATTATGCTAGAGATTAAGACAGGAGATGGTTACTGAAGGGCTATCCTTTCAGTTTACCAAGTCGTGCCGTGAAAGGAAGACGTCTCGGCAGGTGACAAAGGCATAGTCAACGATGAAAACTGCACATCTAGCAGTAACAGAAGCAATAAAAGAAGCAAGGTGGTTGCACAGTCTAGCTTCTGATCTTGGTTTAGAACAGCAATGTGCTAATGTATTCAACCAGACGTACCAAGAGAGTCCCAAAAGCAGGGATGTCAGCCTTCAGGTATCATTTTATGTGAAATATGATGTCGTCGAGAACTGCTACAGGATAGTCAGTGAAAAAAATACCACAACTAATGATTCAACAGACATGTTGAAAGACAGTCAATTCCACCGGCCAAGTTCAAGCATTGCGTAGACTCGGGAGCACGAAGGATTTGTGGTTCGGGACTGATGACTTGCCCAGGAACATCTATCCAGTAGGGAGAACCGTTAAATTAGTGCCTTCATTTTGAACTCGTACCAATCAAAAGCCGACTCAAACCGATGTGTGTAAAAGCCCGATGAATGGACAAGGTTTAAATAGTGTTCATGTTCATGGTAGGAAGTCCCTGTGCGTCAAAATTGGAAGCTCGCAAGACGTCCAAATAAACATTGGATCAAGTCTGGGTGCTGGTTGACATTTGGCCGGTATCTATAAAACTCAGGAATATGGTCGAGCATCTGACCTTGCAGAGGTTAGCTGCCTGGCTCATGCCGGATTTAAGTTTACACACGTATTTTAAGCCGTTTTCGGACGGTTCTTTTGGCATAACTCAAAGAGGGAGCAGTTGAGGCTGTTAAGAGAGTTCATTTGTAAGATTGAGTAAATTTCAATGAGAAATTAAGAATTAACCATTCGAGTGATTTATGGGTGTAATTTGTTAGGATGCATGTGAGTTGTGCTAGAGAAATCCCACATCGGAGAATTGGTGTGGTGTAGAGTAGTTAATATATCTTAGTTGGCCTGTAACTCATTGGCTTAAGATTTTGAGTAAATGTAAGTCCAACTGGATATACTAACGGGCTCGAACTTGGATGGCAATCTCTGCGGGCGAAATGTATCGGGTTTCTGCTGCGCTTTACCCAACAAATTGAAATCAAAGCAAGTGTTTAGTGGATGAAGTTAGGCATAATTTCCGAGCGTGAGGCCTGGAAGTCGAGAGATACGGAGTGGTTGTAATTTCTCCCAACTCAAATTCTTAGCGGATAGTCAAATCCTCGTGTCGTTCATGTACCGTTTCTAACTTGCTTATTGATTATGCCGTCGCAAATTGCACTATTTTCTCACACGCCGAGTAATTTAGAGAGTGTCAGCTTGACGCCCGCACGACAAGTGAATGCACAGAGGAGCTGGGGAACGGAACGTAACAGGTTCAGTTTTGCAAACACCCATCTCAAACTCTCAAATTTCACACACCCACACACACACATGCACATGTCCCGTGCAACAAGATCGATCAGAGTGCAGCACTTCGATACGGATCGTTCAACATACCTGTCCACTCTCAGCAGCAGCAGCCATGACGACTGGACCAGCCTGTGATGCACGATCAGACACGAAGGAAAGAAGATTGACTCAGGCAAATGAACAAGCCCATTGCGGGCCAAACCAAAAAGGGTGGGAGAGGGAGGGAGAGAGAGAGGGAGGGAGGGAGGGAGAGAGACCTGAAAACTATGCGGAGCTGAGCTGAGACTCCAAAAGCGAACTGCAACAACTCTCACTGATCTCTCTCTCTCTCAAAGCGCGCTCTTTGTCTCTCTCTCTCTCTCTGGATCAACAAAGTTTCGCACCTTCTTCATCCCACGCTTCTGCTTTTATACTCGCCAGAGTCGATGGTGTCGTCGGGCTCACTCGACCTTGTTCTCTTTCGGAAAAATGACACAAATGATCCTTGAACTTTGACCCAACATATAATGCGGTCCCTGAGCTTTTAATTCATTCGATATGGTCCCTGGACTATAGGTCAATGTGCAATACGATTTTTGGACTTTTAAATTGTTCGATATGGTCTCTAGGCTTTTGGTACATGTACAGTTTAGTCCCTAAACTATATGAAGATGTTCAATATTGTCCCCGAACTTGAATTAATAGAAGGACAACATCAAATTTTTTTGTATAGTTTATGAACTAAATTGAACATGTACCAAAAGTTCAAGGACCGCATTGAACAAAGTAAAAGTTTGGAGATCACATTGCACATTGAGGTAAATTTCAGGAGACATATTGAACAAAGTAAATGTTCAGAGACTACATTTGGCCAAAATTAAGGGATCATTTATATCATTATCTCTTCTTATTTTGTTCTTTCTTTATTATACTCCCGAACGGTTTTTTTTTTCTTCCCTAGTCGGGTTTTCGTTTTTTATTACTGTTTTTGAACAACGTGGCCATCCTTGATCGTCAGAAAGCAGGCCCATTTAGCACGAAGCAGACCCAATACGAATTTCAAGAGTATAAAACAGGATGCGTTTGCGAGAGATGACATTCCCTTTTAAACTTCTCATGCGTTTAGGATTATCTGGCAACACATAAGTATTTCCTTTATGCATGCTGCACCTCTGCGTTGCTTTACTTTGACCTAACAATGATTAGACAACGTATTCTTGTACGTAGTTTGTTTGACGTGCGTATAAAAGACTTTCCAAAGAGAACGGTGTAAGCTACTCTAAAAAGAAAGAGGCAGATCGCTCATCATGAACAGTTTACCGGTATGTACACGTATCCCCCGCTCGCTCGTCTACTTTTGAGAGCAACGACTCGTGATTTTTGGGACCTAAGAGGATATCTGCTCGTTAATCTTATCTTTGACTCGGATCTTGATCCTTTCTCGATATTGTGAAGGGAATAAAAAGGTTGGCCGGGTTATTTGCCGTGGACATCTCGACTCGATCAATGCTTAGGGATGGTTTGCTTGTGGTTCGCCCCACAAGCAAAACCAGCATATCCTGAGATCTTCTTCGTTAAATCGACGCATATGGATTTTACATATACAAGGCAGTTAAAATAATCTCTGTCCCATGGTTTCATGCGCAACGGTTGGGCACTGTTGGGCCAAAAAGAATTGATTATGGTCCCAAGAGATGGGGTGGAAGTATGCATGGCAGAACAGCTAAAGGCGAGTACTGGCATAGCAAAAAGCAAACGATGGTACTGCGAGGAAAACATCGTGAGCGGGAAACAAAAAGAATACAAGGATTAATCTGGACACCGTAATGGCCGCAAGGTCATTTAGATTGCCCTTAAAGGTCTCCTATCTAGATAAAGTAAAGGAGTGGAAGGAAAATAAACTGCCGTGGAGCTATCTAACCCCGGCCGAAACCGTCAGGACCCCATTGTATCACTTCTGCTCAATCCGAAGAACCCCTTTGTCTTGCTTCTACTCCAGCGAAAAGGCAACTTGACCTGCGAAGACCCCAGAGTCGTGCTCGGGTTCGGCTGGTTCGTTGTCACGCCCCCGCTGTCATCAGCCGCCTGCCGTGGTGCTGCATCTTCGGTCTGTGGTTGCGATTGCATCATGTCACGGTGACACTGGCCCATCAGTTTCGCCAGAAATGGGTGGCCACCTGCTCCTTGCCTGACGATTCCCCGAAATTCTTCTACCTGAAGAATCAGAAAGTATTCCCCACGACGATTATATTGATCTGTTCGTTAACCATATTAGATAAAGGTAATGCTACAAACAGACGGACCAATTCTACATAATTATTGCAAAGTGATGGCCGCTCTTTAAATCGCTTTCGTAAGCAATTTATCATATTTCCAGTTGTTATATTACTGCAGCATGTCAAATGGAAATTATCCTACATTTGTATTTGAAGCTCCGTCACGGGAAAATGAACGATTTGGACTAAAAAAATGATCGCCTCTATCTCTCGTAGTAATAAGTCAATGGCAAATGTTTTCATTATCAATAACAATTTATGTTTAAATATGTTAGTGAACGAACGAGGAAAATTTTTTCGTTCATTCATTTTTGTAGTTGACACAAATGATCGCTTTCCAGAAAACGTTTTCCGAATCATTCATTTCCCACGAAACAAACGGAACCTGAATTTAGAGAAGTTGCTCACTCAATACTGAGCGTGGCGCAACACAAGACTCATTCTCTAGCAGATATGGGCTCCTCCATGTTTGGATGCTGTAGACAACAATGAGGCAGTGAGGACCATACAAAGAAGATCTAATCCGTTTTGTTCGCAAACGTTCTTCAGTCATCTGAACATAAAAATAGTCTGCAGACATGCTTGGCAACACTAGCTTCCGAGCGACATGTATTATAAACTAAAATTGACTCCGAGATGATATCCTTTGTGTCTGTTCCAAATGAAGACGGACAAGTTTCGAGATATGAAAAGGAAGTCTTTTTAATTACTTTGACGCAGTTGCCATCATCTTCTTTACTGTTTTCGTTACTGAAAAGATGTTTTCGTGTTCAATTGCGGAGCATGTTTCCACAAAGAAAATAGAACACCTTCTGGTAAAAGGGAACTAAAGCTACTCTACGAAAGGGAACAGGTTCTGAAAAAGTTTGGTTCTTCTTCTTACCTGAGGATCGAGCGCAGGGTCAACACCAGCTGCGTTTTTGAATATGGCCCAGCAATCTTCTTCCTCCAGAGGAAGAAGATGGTGCAGATTTTCCTTACCAACCATCATCTCCACCAATTTATTGCTCCCGCCATTAACGATCACGGCTCCGCCGTATCCTTTCGGCAGCCCGAAAGCCAGGCTTCGACTCCAATCCGTCGAGTGAACGCAGGCGACATTCTTGCCTTTATTTGGCTTGTGCTGCTGGATCGAGTAATCTGAAACGGATTTGGCAAAAACTTAGAGTGCTCACATTTCCGATTTTTATTCAGATCACCTCGCCAATGATCAACTGAGTTTAAAGCAAGAATTATTCTTACCGAAGCCCAAATCCAGTTTATGGTACCATTCATCCGTATCCCAAGCATCGTCTAGCACGATCAGGTACCTCTTGCCCACTAACTGCCGATGCAGAAGAGAGACCAACCCCGAAACTCCATCTTTCTCGCGTTTCTTCTCCTCGATGATCTCCTCGTCTTCTCCGAGGCAAGTCAGCATCCTCTTGGCGACGGCGAGCTTCGGGTCCGGGTCATCGCTGGGTTGTTTCGTCATGCAAACCCAGATCCGAGGAAGGAAGTGCTTCCGCACGTCCGCGCTGTCGAAAATCATTTGACAGATGGTAGTTTTTCCGCTACCCGCGGCTCCCACAATCCCGAGTGCCATGAATTGATTGTAGTTGCTTTCGCTATTGGCGATCAAGTCATGGACGAGGAATGGCACTTCGACTTTACGCCCAAAGACCTCGGACTGACCGAGCGACCCGTCGGTCGGTTCGACGCGGTCAGCTTCGTTGATGGCCGGATTTTCGGGTTGCCGGCGGCGTAGCAGGAACGCCATCGGATCCAACAGGGGGTCTACGCACTTCACGTCGGTACCATCCCTATGATAATTTCAGAGGTTTTCTTCGGCCGTGTTCCTTTGGGAACGGAAGTTTCATGAGTATTGCTCCCACTGATCTGAGTCAAGAATTTTATCGTCGATGGAAGAACCAGGCTGTTATGAAGTTTTCAATGCGACGTGGCACGTTCGCACTGGGAACTTTCTCTAGTGATTTGCTTTTTCCATGTCACCTTAGCAAATCTCTAATTTTCAAACATATATAACAATATCGATTTCTATTTTAATTTTTATGCACGTATCGTGACAAAATGTTCTATGAACCCAAAGATTTTGGTAATAAAATTTTCAATATATTTCTTTATGTATATATGGATTCTATTTTTGCATATCTATGTAAAAATAAAGCTGATTTTTTTTCTAAAATAAGTCTTTCCAATATCTAAGTTATAGTAAGAAAAATAAAAATAAAGAGGAAATTTAAGTGTTAAGAAGGCTTGCATGCATCTAACTTATAAACAGAAGGAAAAAAGAAGAAGAGAAGTCAAAAATTAAATTAAAGAGAAAAAAATAAAATGTTTAACTTGTTATGTGGTGAATAATTTAGCCAATATATCGAGATTATCGTACACATTTTAACGACTCTAATTATTATAAATATATTTTTTATATATATCTAGATTATATGTAGCAATATCTATGTATAATTAGATGAAATTGCGCACATTTTGGCGATAAAATGTTTTATATAGATTTTGTTTTGGGATATCTATATAAAAATAAGGCCGGAAGTTATTTTTCATGATTGCGCATATTTATAATATGAATATTAGCAAATTCATAACAAATTACTAAATAACCCAACGAGTTTATTCAAGAAAACAATTACTTTAAAAGGTATATATGACATGATAGTGCATATTTCATTAATATATGAAGTTAGAGGATCATTGGAAAAGTTATATAACACAGCTCCTTCAATTCGATAAAGAAATGACATGATGGGATAAAAAGAAAAAAAATCATCACTAAAGAATGATAGCAAGTTTCCTATCCTACTCAAACTTGCAAAAAAATTTCTAGTTCCTAAAGTTAAAACACTAGTTGCTAACAACCCTCCATTCAGCCTTTGCTAGTGCTGCTCCAGCGAATTTCCGTCGCACCCATGGCATGAGCAGATTACCCCACATCACAGTGAGCACATTGCACTTGACGGTGCTTGTTGGCAATGAAATTTCTGATATGATTTTGGAAAATGAAATCAGCATCATATTAGATTTTTCATTTGCATATCATATAAGTCATTAGATTAGCTCAAATTTCTTATCTGATCCCGGACTTACCTATTCAGGAAATCCATAATTTGAAAAAAGTTGTCGAGATGGGGATTTTTGGTGCGGCAGCAGCAGTCGCGCCGCCTATGCTTGGCCTGACAAGGGATGCCAGGCCCTCACAATGGGGGACACCCACTGCCTACGCCAGCCCTCCACTCCCCGTTGCAGATGGTGTTGCATCTCGTTGGATCATCTGGAAACTATCTGCAGATAGTGTCTATTGCATTAGTTTCAACCAGTTCATTTCGTGCTAGTCTAACCCACGTTGAACTTCCAATTCTTCGCAGTGTGCTAAAAAAATATATGAGCAAGTATTGTTGCTCGTCACTGAAAGAGATATGAGTTCTTTTTTAGCCTTCTTACGTCTGTTTCGTCCGTCCCTTTTCTGTTAACCGCATCGTGACACTAAATTGCGTACTGCCAATGATATGCAGTGTTCAGGAGCTCAACACGTTTGATTTTCAGTTTACAACCAAAGACAGATCCCCATTGGCTTGTTGAACAGAGGACGCAGGAAGTGGACATCATTCAAGCTGGATGGACAGATATTTTAGGCCATGAGCAAACAATGGTTTCAAAGTGACATTCAGACCCTAAGGAGCTCAATTACACAGCTTCTGCAATCTTGCTCTTTGTATTCAGGAGTTTCCATTGATTGAACATAAATCAACTCTGAATGGTTAAAATTGTAATCATTTTCGGTTTTCTTGATCTGTTTCAAAGACACTGTCTGCATGTGCGCTTATCTGTAAGACGATATGTTCTCCAAGTTGTTTGGGAGTAGTCTAATAGAAGTCATTGCGTGCACTATCTATATCTGTACACTACTGTTTATATAAAGATAAGATCAGATACTGTACTGCTGTAACAAAAGTGCAACATGAACCGGAGAACATGTTCAAGAAACATGCTTTCGAGCTTATCGATAAATCTAAATTCACGATATTTAAAGTGGTAACCGGGAATACCAGAAGTTACAAAGGATACATAGAGTCGCCAATTATAATTCCAAGTTCATTAAAAGATCAGCGCCAACTGTTTTGTACGATAGAGCTGAAGCATCATCTAAGCACTTTGTTATGATTGTCGATGCGGATTCCACTAATTTCTGATGTTGCTCCCGGCTCTCCCTGAGTTGCTCCAGCTCCTTTGAGAGTTTGTCAATCTGTTCATCCAAATCAGCCGTGGCGCGTTCATTGAATTTATTCGCTGCAAGACCAAAGTAGGCACCCACTACTCTGGTTAGTTGATCCCTAACAAGTTCCACACGGAAATTGGCACGCTGCACAACCTTCAAGCGGCCCCACCAGTTCATAAGCATCTGTTCGGTGACGTCCTCGATTTTAGTCCTGGACATGCTGTACACAACATCACACAACAAAACGAACACGAACGTCTTCACTTTAGGACTCAATCTGGATTCAGCAATCAAATCCTTATGTTTCCGCAACACTGTGTTCATGATGTTGGCAAAATCCCAAGTGATCTGGTGCTCTCCGACATCGACAACCTTGGTGTCCAATTTATAGAACTTGATCAATTTTTCCCACGGTACTGTAATAGCGTCAAGGCTCTCTAAGAGCCGTTTGAATGCGTCACCTGAGTAGGGGAAACTTGTTGCATAGTCTGATGAAATATCTGCAGAAGGTATTGACAGATTCTTGAATTCCATCAACTCTTCCTCAGTCAAGGAATCGTATATGTCCTTCAAAGTCAGAGTAGATTCCGTGATCTGCTTTTCCCCCCGAGCAGTGGTTTGAGAGTTCGACCCTTTATTAACGACCTGGCCGGGAATAAGTTTGCCCAAGGTCCTCAACTCCACATCCTCTCTCTCTCCCTTAAGTGAGCGCAACACCTATATAAGAATCATCAGTTTGTGCGGCATGATCAACTGTTGAAATAAATTTAATGACTCCTACAAGGTAATCAAAAAGCACGGAGAGGTAATTTAACTTCCTCCTCCCCACCCTTGAGAAGAGGGATCCAACAGATTTGGATGCACCGGAATGTCATTTTTGCCAGCGATCCAGTCACAAATCGAGCAGATGATGCTACTTTGGAGGCACAATACCAAAAGAAGTAGAGAGGAAATGTCACTAACCAGCATAACTGATGAAAGGAAAGGAACAAACCATCGTCATCCCATCCTTGCGAAACGAGTTACCACCATCTATTATCAGGGCAGACTAGCTATCTCTTAAACAAGTTGATGTTTACTTATTTGTGGTTATGGTTTATTTGTAAGCATCGCCAGTAGAAGAAAATTCATGGGAAAAAGAGACTCTGTTTTTCTCCTGTCGGATGAAAAATGAAACATGATTGGGGGGATGAACTGGGCAAGGATGCAGACCTTTGAAAGAACCAGGCGTACCTCGGGCTTCGCGCATTCAAAGTGCACGAAATAGTAATCTCCGAAGTGGTAAACGCACTCCCTCGGATCTCTTTCTTCCTCGCAGAAGTCGCAGTAGTACTCGCCCGAGTCGTCCTCGGCGTATGAATCGGCGAGGGTGAGGGATTCATCAAGAAATCCGGGCAGCTTGATTAATGCTGGCAAGGGGCCGCAAAGGAGATGGAGGTTGAAGTCGCAGTGGGCACAGCGAAAGACCGGCGGCGAGTCGCAGGGACGACCACACTCGTTGCAGGGAGGAGCGTGGCGGGGCGCATTGTCGAGGACAGCAAGTAGGTGAGGGTGACCTGTGTATGACACGGTCGGCTGCTGCATCTCTCTCTCTCTCGCCATCGCTTGGTTTAGAGAGGGATGATTGAAAATGGCGGGGGTTGCAGTGGCATGGATCTTTTACGTGCTCGCAATACTGCCTGTATTTGTATTATATTCCAATTTTTTGATGTCTCATATTTCAGAGGATCAACTTATATGAGGGGGTTGGGATTCACTTTAAGTGAAATTCCTCATAAACTCTAAGGGAGAATTTTTGTTGATGTGAATATATATTTTTTATAATTCTTTGCGAAACTTATGATTTGTAATAAGAGATTATACCAATTCAGTAGATCAACCTTAGTATAAGTAGCATGACTCTAAACCGTTGCTCCCGTTTGTTTCACGAAAAATGAATGACTTGAAAAATATATTCATAAAAAATAGTCGCTCGTATCGCTTAAATTTATTAGCCAATTAAAAAATATTTTCATTACCCACAATAATTATTTTTAAATATTACCATAGACGCTGAAAATATTTTTCAGGCATGAATTTTTATAGAGCAATTATTTTCGAAAAAAAGTAATTTTCGCGAAACAAACGGAGCATCTAGTCCTATATTAATTAGTGTCCGTGATGAATAGTTAAAAACCATCGGAAAGGAGTTATAAGGCCGAAAGAAGAGAAGAAAAGGGAGTCAGGCAAGTAAGAGCAAGCAAAGCACTGAAGTTCCGACCATGAGGCTGCCGGGTTCTGACAAGTTGAAGACGCTGTGGGACAAATGGGAAATCCGGGTGTTCATCCTGGTCAGTCTCTCGCTCCAGGTCGTGTTGACGCTGCTGACGCCCCGGAGGAAACGTTCCGGAAACGTGGTTGTGATCTCGTTGATCTGGACAGTCTACTTGCTTGCCGACTGGGTGGCCGCCGCCACGGTCGGCAAGATTTCCAGCAAGCAAATCAATGGTTGCGGGCTCTCTGAGAACGCCGATATCGTGACTTTGTGGGCACCTTTCCTCCTACTCCACTTGGGAGGCCCTGACACCATCAGTTCCTTCTCTCTCCAGGACAACGAGCTGTGGCCTAGGCACCTTTGCGGGCTCGTTCTGCAGGATCTCGCCGCCGTTTATGTCTTCTTTAAGTCGCTTCCAGGAGACAAGCTGCTGTTGCTGTCGACCATTCTCGTGCTTGTCGCAGGGACCGTTAGGTACGCCGAGCGAATTCAAGCTCTATATGCAGCGAGCTTGGACGGACTCGGGGATTCGGTGTTCCGGAAGCCAGATCCAGGACCTGAATATGAGAAAGTTGTGGAGATCTACAAGTCCTTGAAAGAGAGCGGCATGCCTACGCAGTTCGTGACGATCGATCACCGCAGAAGCAACTACTCACCTCGTGCTCCCAAAGAGCATGCAGCCACGACCAATGAGAAATCACCACCAAGGGCGGTCCTCCAAACTGGGTACCAGTTGTTTAAGACCTTCAAGGGACTCATGGTCGGCTACGTCTTCACCACCAAAGAACGCCGGGAGAGCCGCAACTTCTTTATCGAGGAGGACGCCCTACACGCTTTTCAGCTGGTAGAAGTGGAGCTCAGCTTCCTGTATGAGAACCTCCACACCAAGACATTTGTTTTGGGATACAAATGGGGAAGGATCTGGCGCCTCATCAGCTACTGTTCCATCTTGAGTGCCTTGGCCTCATTCTATATAGTTGAGAAGGATGGATTCCACAAGTCGGACGTCATCATCACCTACCTCCTGTTCTTTGGGGCAGTTTCCCTAGATGTCATCTCCCTCTTCATACTGTTGTTCTCTGATCGAACTGCCATGGCCATCGAAAGCAAATGTTACGATCCCATTTTGTTCAATAAGATACCAAAGTGGATGATTGACTCATTCCAGGAAAAGATGAATAAAAGAAAGAGGTGGTCAGGAAAGGTGTCCCAATGTAATCTAATAGAATTCTGTCTGCATAAAGAGAGCAATTCACTTAACAAGATTGCCGAGCTTGTGCATATGAGAGGTCGTCTGGATAAGATCAGGCTGAGCTTTTGGCAGCACAGTTGTGAGGTGGATAACAATCTAAAGGAGTTCATTTTCAAGGAGTTGAGCAGGAGATCCTTGGTCGCCAAGGATGTTGAATCTGCTTTGAAGATTTCTTCTCACCGAGGCAGTTGGGCTCTTTCAGACGCTGGCATACATCAGAACAGCGAGTTGTATAGTAGCATCGTCGAAGTTTCCTGCGTCGAAAGTGTCCTACTGTGGCATATAGCCACTACACTCTGCTATGAGGACGGAACAGATGAGGACCGCAAGAAGCGAAAAATATGCAAGACACTCTCAGACTACGTGTTCTATCTTCTGGTCTTGCGACCGAATATGATGTCCGCCTTCTCGTCCAATTGGCAGTTGATGTTCCAAGACACCTGCGCTGAAACCAAGAGATTTTTGAGAAATATGCAACCCGAGAAACAAGGCGTGAATCTGAAAAGCACATGCGAGAAGATTCTCGAAGTGGATACGCCTGTTAAACCGAGTTATATCAAAGGTTACTCGAGCAAGTCCGTGCTATTTGCCGCTTGTTCCCTTGCGAAATGCTTGGAAAAAGAGCTCGGGCCGAATAGATGGGAGATAATGGGAGGAGTGTGGGTGGAGTTATTGTCATATGCTGCGAACCACTGCAAGGTCGATGTAAACGCAGAACAACCGAGCAAGGGCGGAGAACTTCTGACCATTGTCTGGTTTCTGTTAAACCATTTCGGCTTGGGAACGCAATTCGACGTGGATGATGGGGCTAGGGTCCAAATTGTAGTGAAGAAGTAATGGGTATAGGATTAAATCTTCTTCTGTACCCGATCATCCAGAATCAATTTCCAAATGCAAAATTTCCTTTTTTGCTTTGTGGATTAAAATAATAAAATTTCCATCCAACCACAGCCGTGAGTTGAGGCCGCGCAACCCCAAATCTGGAGGCCACAGCTCGGATCGAGAGGTCGTGACCTCCTTTGGATGTCAACCCGAGCGAGGACGAGAGTTTAGGATCGACGCTGGCCTGGTTCGTGGCGATGGTGTGGTGAACTTGGAGCAGTCTGGCGTGGCTGTGGCTGAGTCATGTCGAGGCCGACCGGGGGGGAGGGTGCCGGTGCTGTTGTTGTCCATAGCGGGTAACGATGGTGGTGCTTTTGTCGTCTGTGATAGCTGTGGTGCACAGCGGCAATGCTCGGTCCACGGCGGCAGATGGTGTGGCTACATCAGTATATTTCCTTTTGACATAAAATCTCTGAACTTTGTAATTTGTAAAGTTTAGTCTTTAATTTATTTTATTTATACTGATTAGGTTCTTAAATTATACAATTCATTTGTCACGTCAACAACGCACATCAACTCTAACTTAACAAACCAGCGATAACAATGGAATTTTGTTTGTTTTGACGGGATTAAAATATTAGAAATATGAAAAAGCCGAGAGAGAGAGAGTGGGGGAAAGAACAAGGCGGAGGAAGGAGGACGTGAAGCAGCAGGCTGAGGCGGCGGTGGTGCGGGCTGCTGATGACCGCGGCCGGAGGCCGTTCACCCTTGATCTGGAACACAACCATCTCAATTTCTTCCATTGACTTTCTATTCTCTTAAAATTTCGGGTTAATATTTCGAAAAACCCCAAACTGATATACATGTGAAAAATTTACCTCAAATTAATTTTTTGACCACTAAAAATCTCAAATTGATATACTTGTAACAGATTTACCCTTCTTTAGTTTTTATTAAATTTTACTATCAAATTGCTTTGTTAAATGACACGCGGTAGTTGATAAATGTACCAGTTTTGGGTTTTACCCTCCGTTTGTCACATGTGTACTAGTTTGTGATTTTTTGTGATATTAATCCAATTTAACGGAAACTAACGGAGCGTAAATTTACCACAAATGTATCAGTTTGCAGTTTTTGGTGATCAAAAAATTAGTATGGGGTAAATTTATTACGTGTGTATTAGTTTGGGGTTTTTGTGGTAAAAAAATTAGTTTTTGGTAAATTTGTTGCAAATGTACTGATTTGAAATTTTTCGTGATATTAACCCTAAAATTTCCAAATGGCAATTTGCAGTAGCATTAGGCTGAGGCATTGTGTAAGCTTTTTGATTCTTCTTCGCATGTCTTTGGTCGATCCATGATGGTGTTTGAATTGTGTTGTCTGCTCTGCACGCCCGCAAGCACTCTCTTTTTTGTAATGGGTTAATATGCCGAGAAACCTCAAATCGGTACACCCGTAATAAATTTATCTTAATCACAAAAAAATTTCAAACTAGTACACATGTTACATATTTGCCCTCAATTATTTTCCGTTAAATTTTACCATCAAATTGCTCAGTTGAATGACACATGATAGTTGATGGGTGTACCAGTTTGGGGTTTTATCTTATGTTTTTCACAGGTGTACCGGTTTGTAGTTTTTCGTGGTATTAATCAAATTTAACGGAAACTAACAGGGGTAAATTTATCACAAATGTACTAGTTTGGAGTTTTTTGTGGTAAAAAAATTAGTTTTGAGTAAATTAATTACAGGTATATCGTTTGGGGATTTTGGTGTTCAAAAAATTAATTTGAGGTAAATTTATTACATGTATACTAGTTTGGAGTTTTTCGTAATATTAACCATTTTCTAATTAACAATCCTTTTTGTATTCCTCCATTTTTTATACTATTTCCTGCATATCTCTGAGTGTTAATGTTCCTCCATTTTCTCACATCCTGCTGGAGGTTTTCCTCAATTTCAATCTGTTCAATTCAACCAGAAACTATGGCCTTGGCTCTGCTTCCCTTCTTCAAACTTGCCCAAGACTGTCGACCATGGATGTGGAAGCTGGACCTTCTCAGAATCGCCTGCCCCACCGAGGGCTACCTTTCTTAAATTTTATTTTTTGGGCATTTTTTAAAATATTTATTAGTTTAGTATTAAAAAATAGTGTTTAATTTCTCGTAAGTCGTAACATGATAAGTTTTCAATTCTCGTAAGTGTTTAGTAGTCAAGTCCGCATTTCTGTTTACTTTATTAATGGAAGGACCTTTTCGAACAAAACAAAGAATATAGTTTAGGGGCTAATTGGTAAAGAAAAATTAATGGACCAGATTGCACAAATTCCAAAAGTTCACGGGCAATTTATGCTTTATCTTTTTTTTTTTATGGTGAGAAAAATAGGGTTTTTGTGATGAAAAAGATTGGTGACGTAGCTACACCTAAACTGTTTTTGTTTTTTTTGGTGACTAATCAATTTCCTCCAAACACAAATAGCACTCGACGGGCGTTTGGTTCAACTTTGAAAAGGAGCTTTTAGGGAATGCAAATACCTTTAGGTTAAAACTCATTGGGGAAATGCAAATAGCGTTTGGTAAAAAATTCTTTGTGAAGCTACTTTCTCCAAAGTAGTGTTTGGCTAATTTTTTTTTTTGCAAAGAGCTTTGGGACCCTTTTTTATTTAAAAAAATGATTAATACCACCAAAAACTCCAAACTGGTACGCGTGTGACAATTTTACCCTGAACTTTTTTATTGACCACCAAAAACGCCAAACTGGTACACCTGTGAAAATTTTACTCCGAACTTTTTTTTGACTACCAAAAACCCCAAACTGATACACATGTTGTAACAGCCTGAATTTCGATGTAATTCCGGGATCAATAAATTGACCATATTTCGCATTTCATTTTAGTAAGTCTCGCCCAGAGCTGATCACTCTCGGGATACTAACCAATGGGGTATGGCTAACTAGGAAAATGGTGCGTGGACCAGGGACCCGATCGTGAATTGGGCACCGATCTCGAGAAATGACGAGAGAATATTATGAACCAGTATGGACCGATCTTAGGAAAGGTAACGGATCTGGTTTGACCAAGGCCAACGATGTACCATCGGATCGCAGGTGATTCTGCAAGACCGAAAGTACACGTGGCCAACCAGTCTTGAACTTGAACCGAGCGATCGTGACCTCTGGAACTAATGATAATTTCTCATTCTCTCAATGATCGAGACCATTACGATATGGATAGCCCTAGGTCGATACGCGTAACTCCTAAATAGCCGCCCGTTAGTGAGAGACCCTGAAATTGAAAGTTTAGCGAGTTTTATTCACGGAATTGAGCCCGGATTTCGAGGTCGATTTTCGAAGGCTTAAGAGACTATTTTTGGGAATTTGACGTCATATTACGTTGGCCACACACGTTTGGGGTTAGTACGAGTGAAAATTGGAATTTCGGTCCGGGGGTGAGAAATTACGATTTTGCCCCTGTGGGCACCGAGACCGGATTCGGAGGCCGTTTGAGGTTATTTTTCGTGGCCAATGTCATTTTGGGGTGGCCATGCACATTTAGAGTGGTTTTGGCCAAAAAGTGAAATATCGACAAAAATTGGAAAAATAATATTATTTTATTCCCGAAACTTTGCAGTCAGTTTTCGAGGACTTAAAAAGTGAATTTCGCGATTCCGACGCCATATTATGTTGGCCGCGCACATATGGAACGCGGGTGTGCGAAAATTGGAATTTTGACCCGGGACCGAAAAATTACCAAAATGCCCTTGGACCCATTTTTGGTAATTCCGAATTTTGGATTTAATTAGGGGACTAACCAAGGTGAGTTAGGGCTAAACCAGGTTTGGTCAGCTTGGGTTAAGGATCAATGACCATTTTACCCCTAAATAATTGGATAAGAAGGAATTGTAGCCATTGGATCAAGGGCAAAATTGTCCAATAGCCCTAGATCTTGACACTTGGAATCCACTCACCCATTGTTGACTCACTTGGACCAGACCATTTCTCTCTCTCGTGAGATTCATTTGGTCATTTCCCCAGAAAATCTTCTTCTTCTCTTCCGTTTAAGTTCTGCAGGTTCACGTTACGCATTTTACGTGCTGTTCCCGGCAAGACGATCTGGCGGAAGCTGCGGCCCACCTACCAACGCACGCCACAGCACCCTTGGACCTTCCTCTCACCTGTTCGGCCATCCACAGTCCCATTTCCAGCCCAAACAGAACAAAACCAGCAGCAAATCGCCTCCGCCGGTGTCGCCGCGGACCGCCGGCTTGCACCCGGAACGCCGCCGTCGATCCTTACCGCGCGTCGGTGATCGACCGCCCGTTCCCGTCGTCCCGAGTCGTTAATAGGCGAGTATAAACCCCTAAACCCTTAATTAGTTTAATTGTGCATTTTTAGGGGTTAATTAGGCCTAATTGAGGGTTAATTATGTTTAATTGTGCGTGTGATGTTTTGTATGGGTCATTAGGATCTAATGAGATGTTTTAATGGTGGATTAAGGCCCAAAACAGCCCCTGTTCTGGTACTGTTCACTGAGTACCGAAATTGTGTATTTTTGTCTAAGTTTTTTTACTAATTGAGTTCAATGGTTAATGACTTAGAATTGGGCATTTTAGGGGCTAATTAAGCTTATTTGAAGCTTAAGTAAGTGTATTTGGTAGTTGGGTGATTAGGGTATGTGATTAGGCCTTAATGTGATTGTTTAAGTGTGAACTAGTGACTAAGGCTTAATCTGCCCTGGTACTGTTCATTAGTACCGAAATTGCACAAATTTGTCTAAGTATGGCACTAATTGAGTTCAATGATTCAAGACTTGAAATTAGGCAATTCAAGTGTTATTTGGACTTAATTGAGGCCTAATTAAGTGTATTTGGTTGTTGGGTGATTGGAGTTTGAGATTAGAGCCTAATGAGGGTGTTTAATTGTGGTTTAGTGGACAAAATGTGTCCTCCCCTGGTACTGTTCATTGAGTACCGAATTTGTGCAATTTGTCCAAGTTGAGTACTTAGTTGAGTCATTGG